ATTTTATATTCCACTGTCATGATGATGATGATACTCTTACTACAGAAGTCTTGTGTTGGTCAATAAAATATTCCACTGCCTTATTATTTTCCACGCAAGACATAGAACTTTTTTTTTTTAAGACCCTGGCAACAAGACCTTGCAGCCTCTGTGAAAGTTATGTTCAAACTATGCAGACTTATTTATCTGTAGTCTAACTTTTCTAGCTTCAGGACCAAGAAAACTCTAGCAGTTTTATGGACCACTAATATAGGTGTAAAACACAAGGGTATGAAAATACTGGGGTTTCATTTCCTGTACTAAAAGACAAGCTTTGCTGTAGACTTTTCATTTGGGAAGAGTCTTTTAAAAACTTTTTTGTAGTGACACACCTACATTAAAGGCTTCTCACTGTGTTGCTTCTTTATGGCTCTGTTAGCAGTGCTTGCCCTATGTCCAGACCTTGCCCTACAACTGTCCTACCCTATGTCCAGACCTTGCCCTACAACTACCCTCGTCCTACCATATGTCCAGACCTTGCCCTACAACTACCCTCGTCCTACCCTATGTCCAGACCTTGCCCTACAACTACCCTCGTCCTACCCTATGTCCAGACCTTGCCCTACAACTACCCTTGTCCTACCCTATGTCCAGACTTTGCCCTACAACTACCCTCGTCCTACCCTATGTCCAGACCTTGCCCTACAACTACCCTCGTCCTACCCTATGTCCAGACCTTGCCCTACAACTACCCTCGTCCTACCCTATGTCCAGACCTTGCCCTACAACTACCCTCGTCCTACCCTATGTCCAGACCTTGCCCTACAACTACCCTCGTCCTACCCTATGTCCAGACCTTGCCCTACAACTACCCTCGTCCTACCCTATGTCCAGACCTTGCCCTACAACCACCCTCATCCTACCCTATGTCCAGACCTTGCCCTACAACTACCCCTCATCCTACCCTATGTCCAGGCCTTGCCCTGTGAATGATGAAGACGGCAGCAAAGATGTCAGGGAATTCTTAAAGCAAGAGCATGACAGTGAAAGAGAGTAAACACAGTAATATATATACAAGTAGAGAGTAGCATCTATCTTGCTCATAATAAAGATGGCTCACTGTATTCATATATGAACTGAGGGTTGAAGGCTTAGTGTTAAAGGCTATAGTGCACTCAGTACACCAGTAATATACTACTCTACAGCCATAATATACATTATTTGCAAAATGGAATACCTAAGAAATGTGATCCTTGTTGTTCTGCTGCCGAGTCTTCTAGCAAGTAGTTACGAAGCTCTCTTGTATATCTTATATACTTATGTAATACAACTTTGATTTATGTGTGAATATCCATGTCGGGAAAAAGTTTGCACGGAGAATAGTACAGGCATGCAAACTATGAAAGCAGCTAAGAAAGTGGTACATGTTTTTTAATTATAAAGCTCTTTGTTTTCAAATACTTCCTCAGACTGTTTCATTCTTAGTTGCAAAGTAACTTTGAAGTGAAAATATATCGTGATCTTCATGATGAAGTCATTATGTAACTGCAGTTACAACATATCACCCTCTAAAAGTAGTATATAAAATGTTACAATACAGTAAGTGAACAAATTCTTAGCAATTATACAGTCTACAGTAGTCATACTAAATTTCTCTCTCTCTCTCTCTCTCTCTCTCTCATAGTTTACAGTCCACCTGAGGGTTGGTGACTAGTGGTGGTGTGAGCCAGACTTATTCTTGCAGGTAACTACTTGTTGCGACCTTGTGACTGCCAACAGTGTAATGGAGTCATCAAATTCTCCTTAGCCTGAATACAGTACATTTCATGACAAAGGGATTTTTAGATATATATGCAAGACTTTCCATATATAGCAAACAATTCTTAACTAAAAAGTTCAACAACCATACTTATTCTCCCATTTTATAGCACATATTTTCCTTAGTCTTATAACAAATGCTGACTTGCACATCTGCAGACTTGGGCAGATTCCTTCAAGGGTCGGTTACGGCTCTCGCAGATGGTTGTCTTGTGTCATAAACCCCAGCCAGGCTGTCTTATGCACAATTTATGTTTATCTGCTATATCTTTAATGTATCTCTATTCCAATTATGGCAACCTGTCTCTGCTCCCTCATCCAAGAATCTTCAAATAATCAAAAGGTACAAGCTATATGTACTAGACAAAATATGGCATTTTTCTTAGTTCATTCAAGAACAAAAATTTACCCCACTCTAAGACTCGGTCAATGTCTATACTGATCAAAATAACATATAGCATTAAGTGATTCCAGTTAATTAAGCAGTTAAATATTAAAGAAGATAACATGATTCCTTCCAGGACTCTACATCATTTGCAGAGGAATTTTTTAATCATGTTTCTTTATTATTGTTAAATAAAATGGAAGCACTGCAAGTGATAATACACAGCAATATAATCAAATATGTGGCACCATCAGCACAAAGCCAGTATCAACATCCGTACGGTACTTCAGAAGTTCGTGCTTTCTATATAACAACATCGAGAGAATAAGAAATCCTGAAATAAAGTACACGACTAAAATATACCAACAATGCCACATATACTCACCAAGCAGCACAGGTTCGTTAACAATGCAGCACTACAGCGTGGCTGGCAATTCTGTTTTTTTTTTTGTGTGTGTGTTAATTCTTTGTTTTGAAATAACATGGTTTTTCATAAATCATCTCCGGAGTCTTGACTAGATACCAAACAAACCCTGGTATTCCGTGGTAGGAGACAGCCTGGCAAGACGTACAGACATCTGCACTATTCAGGACTATGTTTCTGAAGCGTGCTCCCAAGTTGTTCTTTCTATGGCTGGATAAAAATGGTTTCTTGCTATACACACACTGAAGCTCTAAAACTTCAATCAGGCTAATCAAGTACTTAATCATGAGTTAACTCATTATACATCTATTAAAATGTTACTAAAAAAAAACAGTATATAAAAAGCTTATGTAAGAGCACGATTCAAAATTTGAGTCCAGAGTCTGTTCAGCAGCATAGGTGAGCAAAGACCACAGAAGCACTAAAACTAACATTCACCACTGTATCTACATATTGTATTTACAAAAAAAGTATAATGTCATCATAATCAAAGAATACGCTAATGTGGCATAGTGATAATTCCACGATAATGCATAAAAAACACCAGCAAGAGTATGAAACCCGACACTGTACTAAATGCAAAGGCTCATTAGGCTCCTGGGAGTGGAACCTATGCGCCCTACCGGCCCTGGGCAGGGAGGGGTCTATGTACAGGGAAGTTAGGAGTGCAAGGGAAGGAGGGAGGGGGGCAGGGCTTGTACAAAACTTGAGACCTTGGGATAGGCAGTGTGGCTGTCATATACATTTCTTATTAAAGCACGTGAGTTGAGTGTGGCGGTACAAAAGTAGTTGAGAAGCCAATGCTATAAATAAATTACTTTCCCTACAAAAATGCAGCTGATGCACCCCCTTCACTCCAAGCAGGTACTGGGGGGAGGGTAGCAGGAGCTGAACCATGGCTCTGAGGATTGCTGGCATTATAGTGCATATTTGCCTTGATAGTACACACACAACACAACTCGAGTTGCACTGTACATTTATCACTTGATTACATGGCACTTTATGTATCTCCCTCCATGTTTTATTTCTTGAACGTGTGTCTAGAAAATTAAGAGGCCTCACCAAACACCCAAACAATATTGATATATGCTTCAAGCTTGCTGATCAATCTTTGTGCGAGTAACTGAACCAACATAGTGTGCCGTGAGTCATATACAACCACGCCACAGTACCTGGTATCATACTGCCACCATCACCACAGAAACTGATGTTATAATACCACCAACATCATAGTAACTGATCACTCATAACTGTACATGTTGCAGTAATACACCTACAACTCGGATGAATCTGTAATGCCGTATAGTATTGTATAGCACCGGCAGCTACACCACCACTAAAGCACAGTAGCCCATGCTGCAGCCCGCACTGTAACCATGCTTAGATATCTTCTCACATACTGGGATAAAAATCAACGATCCTCACACTTGCAACAATTTGTTGCCGAGAATTAAAATTCATTGAACTTAATTTCAATAAATTCTTAAATAATAAATTCATTGAACCTCGCTGAATTTAACCACAAGCAGAATGTACAGATTAATAAAAAAAAAATTAAATCAGCATCACTATAGTACAATGAGTGGTGATGCAACACTGCTCTCAGTGTTGTGGGTGGTGATGCAACACTGCCCTCAGTGTTGTGGGTGGTGATGCAACACTGCCTTCAGTGTTGTGGGTGGTAATGCAACACTGCCCTCAGTGTTGTGGGTGGTGATGCAACACTGCCTTCAGTGTTGTGGGTGGTGATGTAACACTGCCCTCAGTGTTGTGGGTGGTGATGTAACACTGCCCTCAGTGTTGTGGGTGGTGATGTAACACTGCCCTCAGTGTTGTGGGTGGTGATGTAACACTGCCTTCAGTGTTGTGGGTGGTGATGTAACACTGCCCTCAGTGTTGTGGGTGGTGATGTAACACTGCCTTCAGTGTTGTGGGTGGTGATGTAACACTGCCTTCAGTGTTGTGGGTGGTGATGTAACACTGCCCTCAGTGTTGTGGGTGGTGATGTAACACTGCCTTCAGTGTTGTGGGTGGTGATGTAACACTGCCCTCAGTGTTGTGGGTGGTGATGTAACACTGCCCTCAGTGCTGTGGGTGGTGATGTAACACTGCCCTCAGTGTTGTGGGTGGTGATGTAACACTGCCCTCAGTGTTGTGGGTGGTGATGTAACACTGCCCTCAGTGTTGTGGGTGGTGATGTAACACTGCCCTCAGTGTTGTGGGTGGTGATGTAACACTGCCTTCAGTGTTGTGGGTGGTGATGCAACACTGCCCTCAGTGTTGTGGGTGGTGATGTAACACTGCCTTCAGTGCTGTGGGTGGTGATGTAACACTGCCCTCAGTGTTGTGGGTGGTGATGCAACACTGCCTTCAGTGTTGTGGGTGGTGATGCAACACTGCCCTCAGTGTTGTGGGTGGTGATGTAACACTGCCTTCAGTGTTGTGGGTGGTGATGTAACACTGCCCTCAGTGTTGTGGGTGGTGATGTAACACTGCCTTCAGTGCTGTGGGTGGTGATGTAACACTGCCTTCAGTGCTGTGGGTGGTGCGATAAAAGCAAATCATGTATGAATACACTCTGACTTCCTGTCCCTCTGAAACAATGGATTAATATATCAAAATAGCAACTGTACTTTCCGCAACACTGTCTACCAGGAAGAGAACGATCAACAGCTTGTCAAGTGATGTTTTAACACTGGCTTTCAGCGTGCCAAGTGTACAGTTGTCTACAATTTCTTCAATGTCACCCTTGAGATAATGAGCAGTGCTTTACCACCAGCTGCAGCATGATGCATGCTGTTAAACCCCATTACAATGCAATATATTGTTACATCACCAACTTTAGCACAATGAGGTTCAATGACACACAGTCCTGTAAGATGCATTAGAGCACGAGCCACACAACAGCAAACTGTGCTGCAGTACTGCCTATAGTGCACCGAGTGATATCATTTTAATCAGCAATGACCTGGGGCGCTACACAATCATATTGGCTAGGCCTACTGAATACCTATCTGAATGATGACCAGACCACACACCATAAGATGAAGAAATGACGACGCTTCGGTATGTGCTGGACCATCATCAAGTTGTGTGTGAGTGATTCCACTCACACACGACTTGATGATGGTCCAGGACAGACCAAAATGTTATCGTTTCTTCATGCAGGCGATGAGACACAATAACGTGGCTAAAGTAAATTGACCATACCACACACTAGAAGGTGAAGGGACGACGACGTTTCGGTCCGTCCTGGAATCGACTTGAGAATCGACAATCGACTTGAGAATGGTCCAGGACGGACAGAAACATCGTCGTCTTTTCACCTTCTAGTGCATCGTTTCTTCACCTTCTGATGTGTGGTTTGGTCATCATATCTTCAGCTACATTATTGTAACTCATCATCTATCTGAATCATCGTGACATCTCAACAAGTATCATCTATAAGTCCCCCAACCACACAGAAGCCTTGGCTGATTTGACTTATTTTTATCATTTATGCTGTATCACAAAATTCTGCACCATTAATACTTAACATGGGTAAAAATTAAATATATGTAAAACAAATCATATAATCTAAATAATAAATATAATAACTGTGATTAAAATCAATGGTGAAGTAGTATAAGTGAATGTCCGTAAGTTTGCACCTATACTTAGTATGAGCATTGTAAATGGTACCAATTTTCTCTGGTATCATATTACAGTATTCCAAATCCATTCACTCAGGTTCCTCTGCCACGAAGAAATGTAAGTGGTCCCTAAATCATGAAGCAGACCCTGCAATTTGATTTTTGAAAGAATGCCACAATTTTCCCTCAAAGATTTCTAAATTTTCTTTAATTTCACATATGTAACACACTTATCTTCGATTTAGCTCCATTTTCACAGCTGCAAAAGAAAAGAATTAATGTTATTCTTTGTTTAAAAACTAAAAATAAATATTTACCATTCCAAAAGTCCCACATAACTACATAATTATATATGTAATACAGTATTGTACCTGTATTTCAACTTCCGGGTGCAGATGTTTTTCGTGAAGAACTGGGTTCCCCAGATAAATTAACTTTATATGAAAGATAATGTTTCTTTAGGGCTCACTGACTTTCAGAACAGTACAAGAAACAGAAAAATAGACACTTATATATATCCACATTCCTGGTCAGACAATGTTTATATGACAAAAAGAAAATATAAGTAATATCTCAAAAACCAGCATTGAATGTAATGAAAAGCCATTTTCTGGGCGAGACCCGGAGGCTTCCCGGAGCTATCCAGGCTGATATGTATATTATTAGACTTTGGCATCAGTCGGTGTGAATGGACTTCTAGGTCTAACAGGGACTACGAGCCAGAATCTGGTCCCCTCAGAGAGCCATAAGGAGCAATGGCCTATAGAAATTCACATGTGTGTGAATTTCATGAAATTTCATGAGCATTCTATGTCTGCCATCGACCAGGCCAGGCACCCAGAAAGGTAAGCGCCCCAAAACAAACCCCTAATCTGGTTAAAACTACTACAGAAAACTAACAAGTAAACAAAACTCCCCAACTGAAAAATGAGTAAATGAGCATGACATCACACGTGCAGTGGTGCTTGTCTGCGCAGCTGCTCCCTCCCTGGGAGGAGGAAGAGGAAGCCCCAGACCCATCGTGCCGGCTAGCCACCTGTCAGTTCGAGGTTAGATGTCAAAACAAGCGAAAAACCCTGCCGAGGGGGGGGGGTAGGGATGGTTGCTGGGGAGCCTCCAGGTCTTGCCTAGAAAATGGCATTTCATTACATTCAACACTAGCTACCTGCCCAAACCACAAAAGAGGGACAAACCCGGGAAGCGGAAATCCCCACATCTAAAAACCCCAAAGTAAGAACTCACTTCCCCAAACTCACTTCCAACATTAGATTGGAAGTGAGAAAGGAATTGGCATCTAACCCGAAGTTGGTGCAAAACACAGTTGATCGGAGTAAGCCCCTGATTATTTTTGGCTGCAAAGAAAAGGAGATAACATTTAGCTCAGAAAGAGCTGTAGAAGAAGCGAAAGAAGTAGATAAAATTGTTGGCCTCGTAGAAGGTCTTACTATCATAGAGAATGTGTGCGACTACAGGAGAATAGGCAGGTACGTAAAAGGGAAAGATCGATCTTTGAGGATCACTCTAAATGGTGCCAAACAGATAGAAGAAGTACTAAGGAATGCTAGAAAATTACAAAGTGATGAGGATGGGAAAGTGTGGTCGTTAAGACGAGACCTTTCAAGAGAAGACAGAAAGAAGCTGCAACTAAACCTCGTAAAAGAAAAATGTCTAAATGAGAGCAGAAAAAAAACCAGCGTTGAATGTAATGAAACGCCATTCTCTGGGTGAGACCCGGAGGCTCCCCGGAGCTTTACCGGCTGATATGCTAATGTCAGACTTTGGCATCAGTCATGTGTATGGAGTTCTAGGGCCTACCGGGGACCACGAGCCAGAACCTGGCCCCCTCAGAGAGGCAAGGGGAGCAATGGCCTATAGAAACCCCCGTGTGGTTGGAAGCATTCTATGTCTGCCATCGACCGGGTCAAGCATCCAGAAAGGTAAGCATTCCAAAACAAACCCCTATTCTGGTGAAAATTGCTACCTAAAGCCGAACTAGTGGATAGAACTCTTCAACAGAAAACAAGGAAACTAGTATGACGTCATACGTCACCGCGCCGCTGTCTGCGCAGCTCCCCCCTCCCCGGGAGGGGGAAGGGGGAGCCCCAGACCTCCCACGCCGGCTATCCACCCATCAGTTCTGAGGCTGGATGTCAAAACACGCGAAAAACGCCGACCGGAGGGAGGGAGGGTTGCCGGGGAGCCTCCGGGTCTCACCCAGAAAATGGCGTTTCATTACATTCAACGCTGGTTTTCTGGGGGGAGCCCCGTCGGCTCCCCGGAGCTAACTACCCACAGAGGAAGGTCAAAGGGACAGAACCGGGAGGCGGACACCACGCACCCCCCAAGGAGGCGAGACAACCGGCAGCAAACGCCAACCCAAGGCGCCACAGCCCCGAAAATCCCGGGAACAACACGAGAACCACGAGCAGCAAGGCCCCTGCACGAACACCAAAAATCCATGCCCGAAAGACCGCAAGGCCACGTCGCCCAGACGGCAGCGAGAGCAGCGAAGCCACGAACGCCACAGGCATGAGGGAAGAACACAGGCAGCTTAGCCGCAAGAACACGGCTGACCACCCGGGACACTATCACCCGCGAACCGGGAAGAACAGAACCGGATCAACGCAAAACGCGCTCCGGACCCAAACGCCGTGGCACGCAAACAACAGCGGAGGGCCGCCACTGAACACAAAAACGACACACCCCCGGCCCGACCAACGAAGCACCAACAAACCCTGGACCCCTCCAGAATGCAGCAGCCCCACCCCGCGCCAGAAAAGATGGAGACTGCTGCCACCAAACAACCAAAACGCTAAAACCGAAGGAGCAAGAAAACTCAGCGACTCGACCCCCAGAGGCAAAGGCCCAAAGGAAAGAGCCGACGAAAAAACACACCGGAACCGAAGGGGCACTACCAACCGAGGAGAAGACAGAGCACGCTGACCAGAGACCAGGATGGTGCAAGCGGCGCACGAACAGGCCGGAGGTGAAACGACGCACAAGACAGCTGACTAACGGTGCAGAAGCAACACCAAGACCGAAAGCAAGCTGAAGCGGCTCCGCCCGCGCCGCACGAAAAGAGGCGACAGTATGTGGCAAGACGACGGCCCCCAACCCCCACCAGAAAACCAAGCCGAGAGTAAACCAAGCTAACAAGAGTAACCACCTAAGAAGGGACAGGAAAAGGAAGGACCGCCAAAATACCCCATACTGCCGCCAAGAGAAGCACGCAGGTGGGACACCTACCACGAAGCCACCCGACCACCAACCGGAGGCGAGACCGCGAGGCAGAACATAAGCAGCCCCGACAAGGCCCCTCCGAGCCCAGGAAAAAGGCGGAGCCGCGGGAAGATCTCGGGCGCGACCACCGAAACCCAGGCGGCACAAGGAGATGGAACGTCTGCCGAACAGAAAAACTCCCCAAAGCATGCAAGCCCGCCAGGAGTTCAGAAACGACGGGTCCGACGCGAGACATCGCAAGACCCAAAAAAAAAAAAAAAAAAAAAAAAAAAAAAAAAAAAAAAAAAAAAAAAAACGGCAGGGCAAGCTAGGAAAAAAAAGAAGGCGGAAGGGTCGCCGCCAGAACAGTACCCGAACCAAGGGGTACGAACAACTGCAATAGACCGAGACAAAGAAGCACATCACAGGACACAGGCTGACCAACGCCTAAGAACACATGCAGAACATCCCTGCTGCAGAGGAGGCAGGAAGAAAGAGCAGAAGCACAAAAACCCCAGGAGAACAACCAGGGGTGGACAATCAGGCAGGGACAGAAAAACCCCCACGCAATCCCCAGGCACAAAACGGCAGCAAAGTGCCACTCCACAACCGGACACAGGAACAAGGACACGCCACCGTGAAACACGGTACCAATGCACACGTGCAGCAGCAGCAACAGGCACCACTGCAACATGCAACATGTAAATAGCAACTCCCTTCTGCAAAGGCAGAGAACAGAGCAGGCAGACCCCAGACAGGGCCAACGGACGACACGACAAAACCCTGCAGGCCCAGAAACCTGCACCAGGCGACCGACGGCGGAGAAACCCCGCTCGATACCTGCTGGATGAGGTACTGGGAGCTCTTTTACACCTGAAGCCCGGCCCAAGGCCAGGCTAGACCGGCCAGAGGGTGGCCCACCAGGCAGCTGCTAGGAGCAGTCCACCGGCCCACATACCCCCACAACCAGGACGGGCCGGAACTGCCATACGAAAACAGGCTAGTGCGCCCTGGAAGTCCACGGACGAACCAGCAAGAAGGCTTATGCTCGCAAGTAGGTCGTGTAACAAGCACAGACCTCTGATGGTAATACAGTGTTCCCCAAATGTGCCAATAGCACCACTGCACTCCACTGGTACTATCCCGCAAGTTCTACCAGATAGGCGGGACCCAAGAGCCAGAGCTCAAATCCTGCAAGCACAGCCAGGAGCCTTACCAGGTGAGTACAGAACCAACCCTACAACCCCCACACCTCACAACATTAAAAAAGGAGGGTCCCCTGAATGACTCCAGCATGGGTTGGACATGCACATGAGGGGGACAGGAAGGGTTGAAAAAGGGACAGTCACTGGTGTGCGAACGGTCTCAGTCGTACAAAAATATACCTAAATAAAGACAGGTATATAAACAACACCGCATCCAGCGCCCGGCCAAAAGACGCCAGACCGCAGAAACTCACCTGGCGAATGGTGGCACGAACTTGACACGACTCAACCGTGCCCAGAAGAACCTGGGAGCACCGCCAGGTGAAGACGCCAGAGCCGGACCCTGCCGGACCCGCAGGAGAGCAGGGAGAGGCGAAGGAGGCGGTCCACACCCATGACACAGGGAAAACCGCGGTGTCCTCCCCACAACTGGGAACCAGGACACCCCCGGCGCGAAGGGGCACATACCGCAGCCAGGGAGAAGAACGAGAGGCGAAGCACTGTAGCAAAAAGGGCGCAAAACACCAGCACTGAAACACCGCCCAGACCAAAACAAACTCCACGGCGCATGCGCATAACACGCTGGCCGAACCGCACACCCTCCCTGCGGGAAGGCGCCAGCCAGGACTACTGCACGAGAAAAGTAGCCAAAAGAGGAAGCAGGAACAATAAAACCGGCCAAAGAAGCAAAGAGCCCAAAAAGGAACCCAACCGGGCGACAAGCAGCCCAACCGGGCGACAAGCAGCCCAACCGGGCGACAAGCAGCCCAACCGGGCGACAAGCAGCCCAGCCCGGGCGACAAGCAGCCCAACCGGGCGACAAGCAGCCCAACAG